ATAAACAAACAAACAAAAAACAAACTCAATTAAATGTAGAATAAAAAGTGTAAAACAGATACATAGTACAGACACTGCAATTATTACAAGGAATGGAAACTTTATTTTTCTCTCACATGAAAACAGTTGAACAGCTTGTTGACGATTTAATGCCGGGTGTAAGGTAAAAGTAAAAATGCCCGCAGAAGAGATAGCGCGTTGAAAGAAAAAGTAAGTCGGATGCGGACTGAAAGTAATCAGATTAGTGATTGGGAAGGCAAATGTCAGGGTCTCGAGGTAAGACCAAAGTGTGTTTAAAGAAGGCGCAGACTGGATGAAAAGACTGTTCTTTGGTGGTTAACCCTTAAAATGGCAACCCAAGATATCTTTGCCTTAGAACTATTTTGTTCAAAGAGCACTTAACTATAGAGTGAATGCCTAATGACTATTTTGTCCAAAGTGCATTTAATATCTAACTATAGAGTGAATGCCTAATGACTATTTTTTCCAAAGTGCACTTAACTATAGAGGGTGCACCTTATGATTATTTATTACTATTTATTACTATTCTAAAATGTATTAACTTTTGAGAGCACTTTGGATGAAATGAACTGACACGACGATATATTGTTGAGATCCAGTGTCTTTCCATAATTGTTTGCTTTTACATTAGCAGAGAGTAATTTAGAGAATTTCTTGTTGTGGACTTGGCCTGTGATTGTAAACCGACCCTTTTACAGCCAACACCAACTTTTACCACGTTTAAGACGTTAAAATATTCGTACCGCCTACCAACATGTATTTCCAAAGGGGGCATTAAATAATACCTATCACCACCCGGGTGATCCCCAGCACCTACCAAAATCACCAAACTTCCCACTAGTGGGCTGCAAGCACCGGACGAAACGTTATAATTTTTTCGTGCAAATCCATGATATTATTGTCTCCTCTAAAAACAGACCCTTTTCTACACGTCTTGATTTATACCCATACTGTGTGATTGGGCTTTTTTCTTTCTTTTTATAAACGTCGTTTTCCTGAGCGTGATTCTTGTGTCTTTATGTGGACCATGGAACTGGCCTATTTTCTTGATAAAATAAGTCAGGTAACTGACCTTTACCAACATCACATTCAGCCTGTCAGATTTACAACACACTGGTCTTGCACAACCGTGAAAATCCTTATTATTATATTGCAAGAAAAGAGTTTACTTTGGAAACCCCTCTGGCAGGGAAAGGTTAGCTTATATAGGTGGGAAACATCTCTGGCAGAGAAACGGTTAATTCACACTCATGGAATCCCCTCTGGCAGGGAAAGGGTTAGGACATCTCCTTTGATGGTGTTAAGCGAACCAGTGATGTGATCAGACCCGAGTGACGATGATTTTGCCGCGGTTCTTTGGCTCTTGAAGTCCAGACGACGGAGAACTCTGACTGCAGACAATGAGGTAGACTGAGTCAGTGGGGATGAAACAGTCTGCTTTTTCCCGGACAAGTTAAATTAAAACACAAGAAAAGAAATCTTGTTTCAAATAAAAGCGACTGTGCGATGAATGGACTTTGTTAGAGGGATAAGAAAAGAGGAAAGTTCCTTTATAATCAAACAAAATACTATAAAAAGAGAAGTCGATATTATGACTAAAATGAGGATGCAGAATGATATTCAGAAAGGCAAACACAAACTGACGAGAGCCATAAAGTGACAGAAATATTATATTGCATTATAATATGCAATTACGACCTTTCTAACGCATTGCACTACGGACATACTTTTTGGAAAGAAATGGGACGTGTAGACCTTATATTAAAGGTACATTCAACATTCAAATACAAAACAACGTGTCATGGAAAGTGTTCATAATTTCGCTACCTATTAGGCAGTTCTATCTGACATGTTTGGCCGTTTTGAGTTACAATGATAATTACCATGCAGTTAGAAGCCAACTGTTCTATCTGCTCTTTCCAAACCGTCAGATTATTTGGAGTCGTTATCAAGGTATTCAAGGATATTGCTTTCAAAGAAGCTTGACAGGCTGTTAAACTCAAATTTTTTAACGTCAAATTTTTCAAAACTACGTACCTAGCAGATAGAACTTTGTACTTTGGAGGAAGCGAAGTGTTCATAAAAATATTGAACTGTTTAGACAAATTGATACAAGTCATTGTGCAAAAGTTGGAGTCTTTAAGTTCGATAATTGAGGAAATATTTTTACAACAAGTTGTGCTCCAAATTTATGACCGCACTATAGGAAAAAATATGAAGTGTAAACCATGCAACGAAGGTACAAAACAACTTGCCATGGAAAGTGTTCATAATTTCACCACCTTATCATTACAAAATTCGAACTGACATTTGGGGCATTTTGAGTTACTAATGTTTTATCATATTATTCGGAGACATTATCAAGGTGTTCAAAGAATTGCATTTGAAGAAACTCATTTAACTCAAATCTCTTTCAATGTCAATTTTTTCAAAACTTGGTACTGATTGATAGAACTTTGTAATTCTAGGGTAGCGATTTGTTTACAAAAAATATAGATCCGTTAAGACAACTTGCTACAAGTCATTGTGCAAAAGTTGGAGACTTTACGTCCGATCATAGTTGACAAAATATTTTAGCCACGAATTTTTGACCGCTGTATAGGTAAGAAATATAAAATGTAAATCTTACATTAAAGGTGCAATCAGCATTCAAATACAAAGCATGTCATGGAAAGTGTTCGCGCTCATATAATAATTACCTAAGCCATTTTTGGCCGGTTTGGAGATTTTTGGCTCAAAAATAAAGACCAGAGCCATCTTGGTAATATAGTTCACTTGGACAAAAGAATAATCGAAATATAAAATCAACTGAGCGTACCGAAATTCAAACGTTTCCCAGAGCCAATTGTTCGAAAGAAACAGTTTTTTACTTATGTTCTCAAAATGGTTAAAATGACTTAGCCGTTTATCTTATGAAAGTGACGAATTGATCCCCTCCACGTCTCTGCTCTCTCTCTCCCAGCACCAATACGTTGATGGTGACCGACAGCATTTCCAGCACCGGCCAAGTCGTCACGCACATCATCATCAGCCTCATCATCTTGTGGATCTTCATCTTTTCCATATCTGCACTTAGTCCCGCAATCATGGGAAAGGTAAGAGACTAAGAAAACATAAAGGTTTAAGATTATTAAAATATTATTTCGTCTTTCAACTGCCCTCTCCATTTCTCATCGCCTCAC